GGGAGGGCAGGACGGAGGGAGGGAAGAGGGTTAGGGCCGCCGGACCAGACCCGACCCCACCCGCCCGTTAGGGTCCGCCCGTCCCGACCCGACCCGACCCGCCCGTTAGGGTCCGCCCGACCCGACCCGACCCGACCGTTAGGGTTCTCGCGTGCCCTCTCGATCATATGCACCACACTTTAATGTCCCGCCCGCCCGACCCGGCCCGCCCGTTAGGGTCCGCCCGCCCGTCCCGACCCGACCCGCCCGTTAGGGTCCGCCCGACCCGACCCGACCCGCCCGTTAAGGTTCTCGCGTGCCCTCTCGATTATATGCACCACACTTTAGTGTCCCGCGAAACCAGCGGGGCGAAACCAGCGCCGGCGAAACCAGCGCCGGGCGAAAACCAGCACCGGCGAAATCAGCCCCGGCGAAACCAGCCGGGCGAAACAAGCCCGTGCCCTCGCCCCCGCCCTCGCCCCTCGCCCGCTCGCCCCCCGCTCGCGCTCCCGCGCGTGCAGGGGCGGCGCTCGCCGCGCGGTCCCGGGCAGAGGGGCGCGCGCCCCACAAGCACGAGAGCGACGACGAGGCCGGCCGAAGCGAGGCGCGGTTGTCGGTCCGCACCGAAGCACTGCGACTGCGGCGACTGCGACCCGCATGGCGCACCCTGCAGGTGCCGCGGGCCGGGGCCGAAGCATCCCCATTACAGATCTCAGGGGCCAGACAGAAATCTTGCCCCAGATCGTTCCACGCCTCTCGCGTGGCAAACCTCAGGAGCAGACGAACAACGTCTCGCGCTTCACGCCCGTCCGTGGCCCTTTCCCAGCTCCGCACCGAGGCACGGATCTGGGAAGGGGCCCGCCCTGAGAGGTGTGGTGCGCGGCACATCGTGGAGCGGTGCTGCGGCCTCCCCCCGGGGAGGAGGAGGAGGAGGAGGAGGAGGAGGAGGAGAAGGAGGAGGAGGAGGAGGAGCAGGAGGAGGAGGAGGAGGAGGCCAAGACTAGGGAGGAGGGGTGGAGGAAGACGAAGCGGCGCAAATAATAGAAACATCAATGTTTCGACGGTCCGCGCGGATTTCTCGGATCTGCGCCTGACCCCCCCTCCCTGGTGGCGCCCATCCGAGAAATCCGCGCGGAGCGTCGAGAGTTCATGTTTATGCAGTTTTCTCTTCGTCGAAGGGAGGAGGATGATCCCCCCCCCCTTGAGAGGGAGGAGTGAGAGGGAGGGAGGAGGATGAGGAGGAGGGGGGAGGAGGCGGAGGAGGAGGAGGAGGAGGGGAGGAGGTTGGGGGAGGGGGGAGGGGGAGGGAGGAGGGGAGGAGGAGGAGGAGGAGGAAGAGGAGGAGGAGGAGGAGGAGTGGGAGGAGGAGGAGGAGGGGGAGGAGGAGGAGGAGGAGGACCCCCCTTGAGGGAGGAGGGAGGAGGACGGGGGGAGGGAGGAGGAGGAGGGAGGGGGAGGAGGGAGAAGGAAGGCGGACCCCCCTGGAGAAGGAGGGCGAGGGAGGAGGGAAGAGGACGGCCCCTCCTGGAGAGAAGGCTCCCCCCCTCCACTCCGCGTGCAGCTGGATGGCCTGGGCGGCGTGGAAGTGCTCGCGGCAGGTCGCGACGGTGCGGTCGTACAGCGAGCGGATGGAGTAGCCCCGATCGCCCGCCCCCTTCGGGGCCCGACGCCTCCGTCCCCCTCCTCCTGCCTCCTGCCTCCTCCTCCTGCCTCCCCCCCCTGCCTCCTCCTTCTGCCTCCTCCTCCTCCTTGTCCTCTTCCTCCTCCCCTTCCTCTTCCTCTCCTGTCCCCTCCTGCCCCCTCCGCCTCCTCCTCCGCCTTCTCCTCCTCCTCTTCTTCCTCCTCCACCTCATGTCCCGAGGGGTGAAAGAGGGGCGGGTTTGGACGCCGTCTGTCTTGAGCCTCCAGGAGATCGGAGGTGTGGGGGTGAGATCGAAGTGGATCGGAGAGCCCCCCTACCGGGAAATCGATTTCGGTTTCGTGTTCGTGCGTGCCGTGCGTGCGGGCGAGGCGAAATTGCGTGGGCGGGCGAGAAGAAAGTCCCCTGTGGCTGAGGCGCGGCCGGACCAAAAGTCTCCCTTCCGCGTCCGGTGCCGCGCGGTGTCCCGCGGGTGCCCGCTGTGGCTGAGGCGCGGCCGGACCAAAAGCCTCCCTTCCGCGTTCGGTGCCGCGCGGTGTCCCGCGGGTGCCGCGCGGTCTCCCTTCCGGCGTCCGGTGCCGCGCGGTGTCCCGCCCGTGTCCCGCCGGTGTCCCGTCGGTGTCCCGATGATGATGATGATGATGATGATGATGATGATGATGATGATGATGATGATGATGATGATGATGATGATGATGATGATGATGATGATGATGATGATGATGATGATAATGATGATGATGATTATGATGATGTCGATGATGTTGTTGATGATGATGGTGATGGTGCTGATGATGATGGTGTCCCGATGATGATGATGTTGACGATGTTGGGTGATGACGATGGCCATGGTGGTGATGATGATGGTGTCCCGATGAGGATGATGTTGATGATGATAACGTTGATGATGATGATGATGATACGATTAGATGATGATGATGCTGATGATGATGAAGATGATGATTGTGTCCCGATGATGATGGTGATGATGGTTATGATGATGGTGATGTTGGTGATGATGATGGTGTCCCAATGATGATGTTGCGGAAGATGATGACGATGATGGTGTCCCAATGATGATGATGTTGATGATAGGGATGATGATGATGAGGTGATGATGGTGATTTTGATGATGGTGGCCCGATGATGATGATGGTGATGATGATGAGGATGGTGTCTCGATGATGATGATGGTGATAATGAAGATGGTGACGAGGATGATGGTGTCCCGATGATGATGTTGATGAAGATGTTGCTGATGATGATGGTATCCCGATGATGATGATGTTGATGATATTCTTCATGATGATGAGATGATGATGATGATGATGGTGGTGGTGTTCCGATGCTAGTGATGATGATGGTGTCCCGATGATGATGATGTTGATGATGATGGTGACGATGATGCTGTCCCGATGATGATGGTGGTGATGATGATAATGTTGATGATGATGGTGATGAGGTGATGATGATGTTGTCCCGGTGATGATGATGATGATGATGATGATGATGATGATGATGATAATGATGATGATGTCGATGACGTTGATGACGATGATGGTGATGATGACGTTGATTGTGAGATCGATTGTGATATCGATAGTGAGATCGATAGTGACACCGGATATGAGATCGATTATGAGATCGATAGTGAGATCGAGAGTGGGATCGATTGTGAGATCGATAGTCAGATCGATTGTGAGATCGATCGAATGAAATAGATCGAGTGAGATCGATTGTGAGATCGATCGAGTGAGATCGATCGAGCGGGACCGATAGTGAGATCGATAGTGAGATCGATAGGGAGACCGATCGAGTGAGACGTTGGTTCCTCCCCCCTCCGAACCTCCTTATCATCCGAAGGGTGGTCGTATAGGTATATACTCCTCCTCCTCCTCCTCATCTGGTGCAAGATCTTTCTTTTATGTCGCAATCATGCCATGTAACCCTCATTCTACTGGACTCCGGCGCCTCAGACGATTGAGGGGATAATCGAGCAAGGCGCGCATGCGGGTGAAGGTTGGAGGGTTATGGGCAACGCCCATGCGGATTTCTTTGCAAAGCTTGGAGCTCAACATGTTGCGTTTGCTGATTTAGCCGCTTCGCTCAAAGCCGCCATAACTTATTTCACAACCTGTCCTGCCGATTTTTAGCGCGTGCAGCTCACATCATTCGTGCCAGTGCCGAGTGCGTCTGCTTTGGCTGCTCCTGTGGCTCCGCAGGCCCCTCGGCCTCGCGTGCCGTAGCTGGTGGTAATTGCTCATGGCACCCTGCCCCTCGAGGAGGAGGAGGAGGAATAGGAGTAGGAGGAGGAGGAGATGGGAAGATGATGATAATGATGACGATGATGATGACGATGATGATGATGATGATGATGATGATGATGATGATGATGATGATGATGATGATGTTGATGACGATGATGACGATGATGATGATGATGACGTTGATTGTGAGATCGATTGTGATATCGATAGTGAGATCGATAGTGAGACCGGATATGAGATCGATAGTGAGATCGATAGTGAGATCGATTGTGAGATCGATAGTCAGATCGATTGTGAGATCGATCGAATGAAATAGATCGAGTGAGATCGATTGTGAGATCGATCGAGTGAGATCGATCGAGCGAGACCGATAGTGAGATCGATAGTGAGATCGATAGGGAGACCGATCGAGTGAGACGTTGGTTCCTCCCCCCTCCGAACCTCCTTATCATCCGAAGGGTGGTCGTATAGGTATATACTCCTCCTCCTCCTCCTCATCTGGTGCACGATCTTTCTTTTATGTCGCAATCATGCCATGTAACCCTTATTCCACTGGACTCCGGCGCCTCAGACGATTGAGGGGTTAATCGAGCAAGGCGCGCATGCGGGTGAAGGTTGGAGGGTTATGGGCAACGCCCATGCGGATTTCTTTGCAAAGCTTGGAGCTCAACATGTTGCGTTTGCTGATTTAGCCGCTTCGCTCAAAGACGCCATAACTTATTGCACAAACTGTCCTGCCGATTTTTAGCGCGTGCAGCTCACATCATTCGTGCCTGTGCCGAGTGCGTCTGCTTTGGCTGCTCCTGTGGTTCCGCAGGCCCCTCGGCCTCGCGTGCCGTAGCTGGTGGTAGTTGCTCATGGCACCCTGCTCCCGGAGGAGGAGGAGGGGGAGGAGAAGGGAAGATGATGATGATGATGATGATGATGATGATGATGATGATGATGATGATGATGATGATGATGATGATGGTGGTGGTGGTGGTGGTGGTGGTGGTGGTGATGATGATGATGATGATGCCGCGGTTCTGCTGTGCCAGCTGGCCGCGGTCACGGAGAGGCTATAGGCTGGCGCCGGCACTCTGAGGGGGAGGGGGCTGCTGCTGCTGCTGCGTCGTCCTCCTCCTCCTCCTCTTCCTCGTCGTCGTCGTTGTCGTCGTCGTCCTCGTCCTATCTCCTCGTCCTCCTCCTCCTCGTCCTCCTCCTCCTCCTCCTCCTTGTCCTCCTCCTCCTCCTCGTCGTTGTCCTCCTCCTCCTCCTCCTCCTCCTCCTCCTCGTCGTCGTCGCCGTCGCCGCCGTCGCCGGAGGGCACAGAGTGCAAAGGCCGGGATCTGTCCTGTTCCGTGGGCTTCGCATGGCCCGAGCGGCCCTCGGACCTCCCAGGGTCGACGCCTTCGGGGCGCCCTGCCCCCAGGGTGCCTCCTGACCCTGCGCGTCGCCGTGGCCGTGGCTGGCTTGCAGGCATGCAGCTGCAGGCATGCAGCTGCAGGCGCCGGCAGCGGATGCGCACCTTCCTTCGGGTCGCTCGAGGGCGGGTGGTGTGCCGCGCGCCCTGCCCCGAGCAGTCTGGGCTCTGCTTTCGCACGGCTCCCTGCTCTATGGCTCGCTCGCTCTCAATCGCTCTCTCTCGCTCGCTCGCTCGCTCGCTCGCTCGCTCGCTCGTCCTCCTCCTCCTCCTCCTCCTCCTCCTCCTCGCGTGGGGTCTCTTCTGCACGCAGAAGCACCGCAGATTGAGGCGGGCTTGCGTGGACCCCGTGCGGACAGTGCAGGCCGATCCCTCTCGAACTCGCACCTTCGCATTTCTTCCAAGGCGGGAAGGGCCGCTGGCGGCCACTAGGGGGCTGCCCGGCGCGGTACGGTGGATGGTGAAGCCCGGCCTGCGGAGTTCGTAGGAGGGGATGGCCTCTGCGAGCGTTAGGGTCGGCGGGAAGAGGTGGCCTCTGCGATCGTCCGACCCTGGCTGTGTGCCTTCACAGCAATGCGTGCGCCAGTGCGGCGCCTGGCCCCCGTGCTGGTCAGGGTGGTCGAACCGCTGCCCGTGCGCCGACGTCGCGAAGGCTTGGTTTGCCGACGACGTCGGCCTGTAGGGACTCAGCCGCGTGGCACCTGCATCGGTAGTCCTCCCCCCGAGCTTGGTGCATTCTCCTTTCCACATTATCCTCCTCCCCTTCCTCGTCCTTCTCATCTCTTTGCTTGGAGGAGGAAACGGAGGGGGAGGAGGAGGAGGAGGAAGAGGAGGAGGAGGAGGAGGAGGAGGTAGTAATGATAACAATAATAATAGTTATACGAATTCGAATATTAATCATAATACTAGCAGTAACCATAATAATAATGACAACAATAATAGTAGTACTAATGCTTATAAAGGTACCAGTGATAATAATGATATTGATAATAATACTAATAATAGTACTACTAATAATACTCATATTAATAACACCGATACACATACTCATGCTAATAATTCTACTGATAATAAAACCAGAACTAATACTGATAACAACACCAACAACACAAGCAATAGTAATGATAATGCTACTATTGATAATATTGATAATACAAATAATAATGATACTAATGAGAACACTGATGATAATGCTACGAATAATAATAGTAATACTTATAACAATGATAATATTCACAAACAACATAATAATAGTGATACAACTAATAATAGTACTACTGATACGAATAATATTGCACATAATCATAACAATACTAATGCTAACACTCATCGGCTCACAAGAGCGATAATACGAACATCTATTCAGCCTGGTGGGGAGATGATTGCACAGGGGCTCATACGCTCAGAGACGCGCGACCGTGCAAGGGTGACGCGAGCCAGGCCCACCGACGACAGTGCACGCAAGCCCCGAATCAGCACGAAGCGTGAGGGGCACGATGCACGACACACGCAAGTGTTACTGCTGTGCATTATGAAAGTTGGACTGCTCGTATCTCCGTCGAACGTCCTGGGACCGATTGGACAAACGAGCGCCGCCAGACACGCTGAGGTGAGGGGGAGGAGGAGTAAGAGGAGGAGGAGGAGGACGAAAGGGGGGGCCGTCTCTCGGCTGGCGGCGGCACGGGCCTGGAATATCAAGTGCACGGCTAGCATCATCATGATGATCTGAAACAAAGAGGTTAGGACTCACTGCGCTTCGAACTCGTCGATCGCCGGCGGGATCCTGCGTTCGAGATCGCCTGGCGGTGCCGCTCCCTCGAACTTCGCGGCTTTCTCGCGCAGAAAGACAGGCGCCATAATCTTCTGGAAACAAACGTCATCGCATTCACCTCGAGGCACTTGATCTTGCCGTCGTACGTCTTGCAGCATCGGGCATATCGAGCTTCTTTCATCAAATTGTGTAGGTAGGCTTTCGTGTCCGTGGATCTTTTCTCCATCTTGTCGATGTTCTGCTGTAGATTATCTGCTTGTGGAGGTTCGAGATATTTCTCTGCTGGTTCGGCTTTTGATACCATGATCCATGCGTTCCATACGTGTGCATGAGGATGAGCGAGGTTGGCAATCATCATCATCTTCTGCTCGTTGCTGTATGTCCTCGCAGCCTCCGCATAGCTCTCGGTAGAATTCTTTTCCAGGGCGAAAAACTCGCAATTCTCGCTTGCCTGATAGTTGTCCTATATGATTGCCCTGGGAATCCGCGGCGACATTGCAGTGCCGAGGCGCAGCTCGGCGATGAGAAGAACGAGAATATGTATTTCGTGTTGGCTCTGTCGCCTGCGGCCCTCCTTCTGCGGGGGACCTCGAAGCGCGGCTGCCGCGAGGCCGAGATCCAACCGTAACTTCTGGTACGGGGGACTGAAATAAGGAACGTGCAATCGGCGTCGAGAGATCTAAACGTCTTGGACCAGAAGGTGCTGCATGCGGATATGGTGATTGTGCACGTATATGTCGTCGCACTCGTATGTGTTACCGTAAAGCTTACACGTGGCACATGTGTAAGTCGTGTCGAACGTGATAAGAGGGGGGATGTAACTCTGATCAACTTTGCATCGACCGTAGTGCCAACTGCGTCGCGCGCGATCTGGCGCTACCTTTCGCGTAGAGAAGTGCGTGGAACACCGTGGACATATCGCTTCAAGTACGATAGAGTCTAACGTAGTCATGCCATGCGCAGATTGTTCACGCGCACGATGTAGTCTAAGAGCTTTCGAGGTAGGGAATGTCATTGTGCGTGTGTTACCATCGGTGCGCGTGAGACCACGATAGAATTCGCCTGTAGGTAATGAAAATGATGATGCGGTAGTGTTTAATACATCCTGATCGTACTGTGGAGGAGGGATGTTGATAGAAAAGAACTTTGATCGCAACTCAGAGACAACCATCTCGAGGAACAAACGTCGCGTAACGTGCCGGTCTCGATCAGCTGCCAAGGTGAAACATCTTCGAGAAAGTAAGCGCTTTCAAACGCAGATAGCGCCTGTATATATGCTTGCAGTTGTTGAAGCCACGGATGATTAACATGGGGTGCGTCGGGGGCCTGAGTGAAATGACCGAACATTGCAGTGATGCGCAGTTGATGATGAAGAAGATAACTACATATCTTTTTTTGAAGCCGAGGAGGATAAGATATGTAAAGGAGAGGGGGGGGAGAGGGCCGGCGCGGATTTGACGGGTGCGATCGAAATCTCCTGACTCGCTTTGGGGGCCACATGTGAACCCTGCCCCCCCCCCCCCCACGAAATTCTGAGCGAAGTGGGCCCCGCCCTCCCCCTCAGAAGTCGTCGGGGGTAGGGGTGGGGTTCGCATGTGGCCCCCTAGCCTCAATCGCTGCTTCCCGCCTTTCTAGACGTGGGGCCACCTCCGTCGCTGGGGGCGCAGGTCTGGAAGAGCCGAGGTAATGTCCGACGAGACTGCTCACGTCTATTGCTCCGCGCCCTCGTCGCGCCGGGCGGGGTGGGGCAGTCGGTCTGCGCGCCGCTCGCCGAGATACTTGGGAATTCGACGAGCATCCCATGGCCGAGCGCGGGCCCGGGCTGGCGGCGCGACACTGCCGACTCAGACTCCAGAGCCCCGCTAGGGATCGTGCGCGTCGCGCTATGCCGAGGCGCTCGCAGGTCCGCAGCAAGCCCGGCGCGCGTGTCGGCGTCGGCAAACGGGGCGGCCAGTCGGCGACGGCGCGGGGGGCGGCGAGTTCGTCGCGACAGCGAATGTCAAGAATAATCAGATCGGGGATCTGGTGACCAGATTTAAGACCCATGCCTCGTTCCTGACATGTGGAGGAACAACCGTCGCGTGAAGGCTCGAACGAGTGCTAAACATTCTGCGTGGATCCGCGTTTCACTCCATGGCGGCATCCTGCTAGAAAATGAACTCCACTGGTATGGCCAGGAACACTAAGTCCAATGTTACAGCGGTGAAATGCCGGTGGCAGCACTGCGTCGGGGGATCCGTGGCGACGTCCATTGCAGCTGCATCGACGGGCGTCAGGAGCTGGCCAGCGGCTGCGCGCCTTTAGCCAACAAGTTCACCCCTGCATCCTAGGACACCTCCACGAGCGCCGCGAAGACGACCGCGATGAGCCAGAACACCGCCGCGAGCGCCACAACGACCGCGAGGGGCCCGAGGAACATCGAGAACAGCACGGGGGGACGTGCTGCCCAGCGGGCAGGCTGAAGTCCCCTGGCGCCACGCATGTCCCCTGAAGTGGAGCTGCGCGACACTGCGCTACCAGGCCTAGCCAGCTTCCGCGGACAGAGTGCAGGCGGTCCGCGGGCAGCCCGTATTTGTGTGCTTTACGGTGTGTGATCTGTCAAACCTGCACCCTGTCAGGAACGAATACCTCACGGCGGCGCCGAGGTGCGTCGTCACCTGGGCACCATCATCAGCGCAAGGCCACGGAGGAAAATTGCTATGCAGCCACCGCCAAGTCTTCCTGTGCACGAGCGGCATAATCAGTGATGTTATGGAAATCCTCCTACGAGTACTTGAAATTGCTGTCGAACCATGTGCATCTTGAATCAAAACCGTCGCTCGGTCATGCATGTGAATGGCAAGCTCTCAGAACTTCGCCTGGCGGCTTCGGACGAATAAGCAAGCCGACCCACGATCATTCCACGAGACAATGCGACCACCATACTTCGCAGGCGACCATTCCTATGTGCACCAGCGGCTACTGAACACACCATCCTTCGGCGGTGGTGTCCACAGCCTTGCAGGGCCTCTTGAATACCTCTGAATACCTCGGGGGTGGCATTCTTGTCGATTTGATACTGGGTGACAATGGGGCCGTGCCAGGTGAACTTCGTGGGGCCGTCCACTCCTTCCACTTCTAGAACCACAGACGGAACGCCCGCCACCAGGACAATGCCCTTGGCGCGCTGGAGTGTGAGGTCGAAGCCGTGGTGCTGCTCCTCGAGGAACCAGTGTAAGTTTTTTTGTTCTCCCGCGCCAGAAAACCCAAACTCCATGAATCACCACGCGAGCGAGCAATCTAATGACCTCCGATGGCACCGGTGACCTTTCGTCACGAGCAATCTAATGACCTCCGAGGAACCAGTGTAAGTTCTTGGTGTGCAGCTCGAGCCGAACCTGGCGCGGAACCTTGTCGGAACCGATGAACAGCGGGGTCTGGGCGCCCATGCGTGTTCCGGGCCGAGCAGCTGAGCCGAGCTGCGGGCGTGCGGAGACTTTGCGCCAGCGCGAGCGCTAACGGCTTCGCCGCCTTCATCCCCCGCTTGGCGGGGGACGCTGCCAACCAACTCCACCTGGTTCATCGTAGCGTTGAATCCGTGATCCGGTGCTGGAGGTTGCGGACCTCGGACGGTGCGATTGCCGACGGCGCGCCGATCGAGAACAGCGTCGGGTAGGCCTGGCGCTCTCGCGTGGCCAGCTTTGCGGTGTCGAGCACGGGCTCGGACACCTCTGCCAGTGCGATGGTGCGTTCGAGGCGGTGCTCCGCATCTCGTATGCTGTACTGTTTCTTCTCTTGCTCTTCGTGACGCTTGCGAGAACCATGAAACTGTTCGCCGAAACTGGTATTTGTGGAATAGGGGATGAGGAGGAGCTGTAGGATAAAGAAACCAATGAGCTTCTGGAGTTCTCCAGAGAAGCTCCTTGAAGACCGAAAAGAGCCGAACCGTCAAACAACTGCGATCCTTGAACCTCCAGGATCGGACAGAAGAGGGGGAGGAGGAGGAGGAGGAGGAGGAGGAGGAGGAGGAGGAGGAGGAGGAGGAGGAGGAGAAAGAGGATGAAGAGGAGGAGGAGGAGAAGGAGGAGGACGAGGAGGAGGAGGAGGCAGAGGAGGAGGAGAAAGAGGAGGAGAAGGAGGAGCATGAGAAGGAGAAGGAGGAGGACGAGGAGGAGGAGGGGGAGGAGGGGGAGGAGGACGAGGGAGGTCCAGTGGAGGGAGGTCCAGCGGAACGGTCTCCCAGGGCAGCGCGTGGGGGGCGTGCTTCTTCCCGCTCAGCGACCTGGAGCGCGGCGATCGAGAACAGCAGGGAATGAGTGAAGACACCGCCGCACCCCGTGTCCGCGGCCTCGAGGCAGGGAGGGAGGAGGCGCGGCATCGTCCTATTCGTTTCTTCAGGAGAACAAGCGATGATATGAACATAACAACTCGGAAGTCCGCGCGGATTTCTCGGAACGGCGCTGGACCCCCCTCACTGGCGCGCGGAGCGCGCCAAAGGCGGCGCCGGAGGCGCCGCTAGGGGGCCCCCCGGCGCCGATCCGAGGAATCCACGCGGACCTCCAAAGGTTTTATGCTTATGTCATTGTTCGTTTCCCTATTCCGTGGATCGGCAGAGGACGCTCCTGGACGCTGTTTGTGGGTTTTCGTGTGCCTAAGGAGACCTCATATGGGGAGGGAGGAGGGGGTTCATGACCAAGGCTGGGTTTGTGTCGGACGCTATAGGTATTTATGCATGCGTGAACGCATGTATGCATGTATGCAGATATGAAGGTATGCAGTATGCATGTATGTATGTATGTATGTATGTATGTATGTATGTATGTAGGTAGGTAGGTAGGTGTATGTATGTATGTATGTATGTATGTATGTATGTATGTATGTATGTATTTATGTGTGTACGTATGTAGGTGTATAGGTATGTATGCATGTATGTGTTTATGCATGTATGTATGCATGTAGGTGTGCGTTATGTTTGCATGGCTATATGTGTATATCTGTATGTACATATGCATGTATGTATGCATGCATGCATGTATGTATGTGTGCATATATATATATATATTCATGTATGTATGTATGTATGTATGTTTATATTTACATATGTATATATATATGTATATATGTATGTGCCGATGCATATATGTATGTCTGATGTAGGCATGTATGCATGTATGTTTGTATGCATGCATGCATGTATGCATGTACGTATGTGTGTAAGCATGTGTGCGTATGTATGTATGTTTGTATGGATGCATGTATGTATACACATGCGTGCAGGTATGCAGGCATGCAATTGTGTATGTATGTATGTATGTATATATGTATATATATATACATATATATATACATATGTTTGTATGCATACATGTTTATGTGCACGTACGTGTACATGTACATGTGCATGTATCTGCATATGCATTTGTTTTTGTATATGCATATGGGTGTGAATCTGTATCCGTGTATGAATATGTATAGGTATCACTGCATACATCGTATATCTATATATTCATATCTATATATATATATATATATATATATATATATATATATGTACATACACACATATATGTATGTGTGTATGTGTGTGTGTGCATGTGTGTGCGCGTTTTTTTGTGTTATCGGCCAGCCTCCGGTGCGCGCCTCGTCGCCACGGCTGGATCCGCCTCGAAGTCCTGGCCAGGAAGCGCCCCGGGAGGAGGGCCTGAAGGTCCGAGTTTCCGTGGCCTGGAGGAGTGGGGAGGGGGTAGGGGATTGGGGATGGGCGGGGAGGGGGGGGGGCGTGGGACGGGGAGGAGGGAGATGGAGGAAGGGGAACCGCGGGGGAGAAGGAACGCGGGAGGAGGAGGATGAGGGGAAGGAACGGGATCGGGGGGGGGAGGGGGGCGGGGGGAGGGCGGTAGCGGAAGGGGAGCCGGTGGGATGGGGGAGAAGGAAACGGGGAGGAGGGGGAGAGGGATGGGGATCGGCAGTCGACGACTCCTCACGCCATCCGGGAACCGGGAGTCAGAGGGATGGGGGGGGCGGAGAGGGACGGGGAGGGGAGGGGAAGGGAGGAGGAGGAGGAGGAGGAAAAGGAGGAGGAGGACCAGTGGAAACCCAAGAGTCATCAACGATGCTGGAATTAACCCTCCCTCCAAGCTCCCTCTTCATAGGCCCCTACAATGGTTCATCTCCATTGAGGGAACTGCCTCGTTAGAAGACAACAGTTTGAAGATCCGATCCTGAAGCGTGCCAAAACATTGTTCTTGGGATTTCAACGCCCGCCACGTATCAACCTGACTGCTGCGTCTTGACGATCCAGAATCGTGCCGGAACGCCGTTTTTGGGACTTCAACACAGCGAATCAGCATCACTGTTGCGCCCGCGCAATCCAGAAGCCTTCCAAAACATCATTTCTTGTACGTTGATCATGGGAATCCGTGAAGATCTTGAATGCGCGCGGCGCTAAGGCGACAGGCGCATGTTGAAAACGACCCGCCCACAATCCATGAAACTCTTGCAATTTTTTGAAAACGAATGTGCGCGGCGCTAAAGCGAGAGCCATATTTTGAAAACCACCCGCCCTCAATCCGTGAAGCTCTTGCACACTGTTTTACACGAATGTGCGCGGCGCTAAAGCGAGAGCCACATTTTGAAAGCCACCCGCCCTCAATCCGTGAAGCTCCTGCAAGTTTTTAAAATGAATGTGCGCGGCGCTAATGCGAGAGTCGCATTTGAAAAGGAACCGCCCTCCATCCCTGAAGCTCTTGCAACTTTTTTAAACGAATGTGCGCGGCGCTAAGGCCAGAGCCACATTTTGAAAAGAACTCGCCCTCAATCCGTTGAGCTCGTGCACTTGTTTTAAACGAATGTGCGCGGCGCTGAGGCCAGAACCACATGTTGAAAACCACCCGCCCTCAATCCGTGAAGCTCTTGCAAGTTTTTGAAACGAATGTGCGCGGCGCTAAGGCCAGAGCAACATTTTGAAAACCACCAGCCCTCAATCCGTGAAGCTCTTGCAAGTTTTTAAAACGAATGTGCACGGCGCTAACGCGAAAGTCACATATGAAAAGGAACCGCCCTCCATCCCTGAAGCTCTTGCAAGTTTTTAAAACGAATGTGCACGGCGCAAAAGCGAGAACCACATTTTGAAAACGACCCGCCCTCAATCCGTGAAGCTCTTGCAATTTTTTAAAAACGAATGTGCGCGGCGCTAATGCGAGAGCCAAATATTGAAAAGGAACCGCCCTCACCCCCTGAAGCTCTTGCATTTTTTCAACGAGTGTGCGAGGCGCTAGCGCGAGAACCACATTTTGAAAAGGACTCGCCCTCAATCCATTGAGCTCTTGCAGGTTTTCAAACACGAATGTGCGCGGCGCTAAAGCCAGAACCACATTTTGAAAACCACCCACCCTCAATCCGTGAAGCTCTTGCAAGTTTTTGAAACGAATGTGCGCGGCGCTAAGGCCAGAACCACATTTTGAAAACCACCCACCCTCAATCCGTGAAGCTCTTGCAAGTTTTTGAAACGAATGTGCGCGGCGCTAAGGCCAGAGCCACATTTTGAAAACCACCAGCCCTCAATCCGTGAAGCTCTTGCAAGTTTTTAAAACGAATGTGCGCGGCGCTACCGCGAGAACCACGTTTCGAAAACCACCCGCCCTCAATCCGTGAAGCTCTTGCAAGTTCAAAAAAACGAGTGTGTGCGGCGCTACCGCGAGAGCCACATGTTGAAAACCATCCGCCCTCAATCCGTGAAGCTCTTGCACGGTTTGTAAAGCGAATGTGCGCGGCGCTAAGGCGAGAGCCACATTTTGAAAACGACCCGCCCTCCATCGGCGAAACTGTTGTCACTGTTCAAGCTTCAGAATCATATGAGATGAGGAGGTCTCAAGCGAAACGCCCGGCCGCCCCAAACCTGGCCTCGGGGTGCGACAAGGAGGAGTTATGTATAAGGAGAGGAAACGGAGGAGGAGGAGGAGGAACAGGAGGAGGAGGAGGAGGAGGAGGAGGAGGGAGGAGCAGGAGGAGGAGGAGGTGGAGGACGAGGAGGAGGACGAGGAGGAGGAGGAGGAGCAGGAGGAGGAGGAGGAGGAAGAGGAGGAGGAAGAGGAGGAGGCCCTGGCCTCCTGGCCGTCCAGGCAGCCCGCCATCGCGACAGCCTCGCGGCCCCGCCAGCGGGGCCGCCGCAGGTCGCAGGCGGTGCCCGAGTGGCAGCAGTCGGTCATCACCAGCACGCGCACGCCCTCGGGGATCCACTCGCAGAGCACGCGCTGGAGGCGACGGCGGGGGCGAATGTAGAGATAGAAGAAGAAACGCCATAAACATAAACTTTTGGCGCTCCGCGCGGGTTTCCTGGATCTGCGCTGGGACCTCCAGGCGGCGCCTCCGGCGCCGCCCCTGGCGCGCTCCACGCGCCAGGGAAGGGGGTCCAGCGCAGATCCAAGAAGCCCGTGCGGAGCGCCGAAAGTTTATGCTTCTGGCGTTTTACTTTTTCGACAACAGCAGCAAATCCACCCCCATAACAAGCACTCCGACGAGCGAAGCCGTTTCGCAAACGCACCCAAGGAAGGAATCGAACAGGGCAGGGCTTTGAATGAAACGCCACGGGCCGTTCAGTAAAAAATAAACGCCGATTGTGGGGCTCGAGGTGCTTTTTCCTCACTTCCGCCCAGGAGCGGTCATTACACACGCACACACCACACGCACACACTCACACAAAAACACACACACACACACCACACACACCACACACACAAACACACACACACACCCACGCACTCACACACCCACACACACACACACACTTTCACACACACGCATTCACACACATACACACGCACCCACACACACACCCACACACACACACGCACGCACACGCGCGCATACACACAGACACACACACAGACACACACACACACACACACGCACAACACACAATACACACAACACATGCACACGCATACACGCCACACACACACGCACATATGCACACATGCACACACGCACACACGCACACACGCACACACAAACACACACACACACGCACACACGCACACGCACGCGCAAGCGCACGCGCACGCGCACGCGCACGCGCACACGCACGCGCACGCGCACACGCGCACGCACACGCACACGCACACGCACACGCACACGCGCACGCACACGCACACGCACATGCACACGCGCACTCACGCGCACGCGCACGCACACGCACGCGCACACACACGCACGCGCACGCGCACACGCACACGCACACACACACCCACACACACACACACACACACGCACGTACGCACGCACGCACGCGCACGCAGGCGCACGCACGCGCGCGCGCGCACGCGAGCGCACGCGCGCGCACACACACAC